CTTGGTCTCCATTTCAATAACCTCTTTGTTCATCGTCCATCCGTCATTCTAGCTATGTATCCTGCCCATTTCCATTTTAGTCTGACTCTTCTTTCGATAACGTCAGTCACCTTGGATCTTCACCTAACCTCTTGGTTTTTTATTTTGTCCCGCAGAGTTATTCCTAACATGAATCGCTCCATTCTTCTCTGTGTGGCTCTGGTAGCTTAGGCTTTTGTTCTCTCTTTGGTAGCGTAGGCTTTTGTTAAGATAAGTGTCCCTGCTCCGTATGTAACACTAAGAGGATGTATTTATGAAATACTTTTCTCTTCAGGAATGTAGGCAGCTCACTTTTAAAAGTTTCACTCAGTTTTCCATATGCAGCCCACACAAGATCGATTCTTCTCTTCAGGTGATGGGTCCGATTATTTCTGCCAATTATAATTTCATGTCCTAGGTATTTACATTTATCTATGAGTTTTGTTAAAAAGGCTGTACTGAAGAGACAATCTTAACCCAGAGATGAGCCACAATACACCTCTTAGGTCGCATACCCTACTAGGTGAACCCAACCCCAACCTAAGATACATGTGATAATAGAGCGAATGATTACAAAAAAGCAATAAAGAATGTGGATACCAAATGAGCCTGAGATCTAATGTAACCTCAAGGTATCTGGTCTCTTACTACAGAATGATTCTTGCATATGTTTTTGCAGTTAAGTACTCTTCATGCACGTTTTCGATCATCATTTGTTTTTTAAAAATTACTCACTATAACCGGGAACAGTTACGGCATAGTTACGTTAGACCATATCCTCGAGGTATCTGATGATTTCTGATAACGCAGCCTACCACCTTTTTCCTTCTCGCAAACAATATAAGTTGTATTTTGGATTGATTAACCAACTAAAGATACTATACCCTGACTATAGAGTAAATCATCAGTATAGATACTAAAAAAGTGATTCGATAGCAGACAACAGCAGAATCACTTCACCTATCGTCAGTTAGCTCATGATAGAGTTTTACGAGGTTTGGTGTTTTTATTTATTTTGGAGACTTAAGTGACGGTTACACCAGCAACAATGTAGAATTCCAGCAGAAAGTGATTGTTACTTATTTACAGAATCTTTGGTATAAGTTAAAGTGAGTTTATTCTTTCTTTAACGGATACTAATACATACTACATTAATTAAAAATATTAACAAAAATATTAAAAAGTAAATTTATTTTTTAAATTAAACAATAGTAAAATAATAAACAGTTTTTATGTGAAAACTGGACGAATCTACGCTATTTAACATTTATTAAGTATAGAAACTGGCCTGGCATGACATCTATAACATCGATATATAAAATCACATGGTCACAAGAGACACACTATTAACACTATTCCCTATAAAAATACAGGTACATTCACCAAGCTTCTATCAGCTATTGATTGTGGTCTGTCTTATTGAAGCGTATGTATTCCCGCTTTTTGAACAGTAAGAAACTAAACATTGGATTTTATCTTCAAAAAAATTATCATACGGCTGTCGACCTCTTCCAGCTCGTTTTGCTAGCTGTTAGGCTGCTGCTGTGAGTACCCTAAAAATTATACGTACTTTTAAAATTTTGATTATATGATACCTTCATTTATTAGATATTTAAGCATTTATAATATATATCAAATTTAATTTATAGACAACTCGCATTTTAAAAGCGCTGAAATATTAAGACCTGAAAGTGTAAAGAGATTACTGAAAATCAATTTACGCGATTAGATTTTATCCTATTAAATATATTCTCTCTTTACAACTTCGTAAAAAAACCAGGGTTCATCTAGCCCGGATGATAGTACCCTGTAAGGGCTCCTGCCTAGAGTTACAGGCAAAGGTCAACGGTGGACGGAGCAAACGAGATTGACTCGGAGTGCACGAGTGAAATCCAATGGTCCCGAAAGCGGAAGAACCGAGTTAAGGGAAGACTAGTCTCTACAGTCCTGAAAGACAACTAGTCTAGAGGAAGAAAGCCTTGATTCAAAATTACCCGGTCCTCCTGGAGGGGGTTAAGTCATGGGGCCAGCATCTCCATACTAGTAGAAATCCTATAAATGCTAACAATACTAGTACTATGTCTCGGAAAACGGACGGACTCAAACGAAGACGAAACTCGCTACGGATAAGGAAAATGATTTGGGCAACATGGAACGTCCAAGGATTAAGTAATAAAACGGAAGATGTAATGAAAACCCTTGAAGAAATGAAGGTTGATGTAGCAGTGTTCACAGAAACCAAAAATAAAGGAAACGGGATTGATCAACAGTCAGACTATTTACATATACACAGTGGAGTTCCAAAAAATAACAGGGCTTCAAAAGGTGTATCAATATTGATACATAAAAAATATCAGAAAGGTCTTACTAGCTGGGAAACAATAAATGAGTGACTAGCCTCAGTAAATATTACGATAAAAGGACATAAATTAACAATTATAGGAATATATGGTGTAAACGATGACGCAAATCTAGCAGAAAAAGATCAATTTTATGACCTACTAAACGAAACCCCTATAAAAGTGGGAAATCAGAGAGAAATAATACTTCTGGGGGATTTTAACTCGAGAGTAGGAAAAAGGAAGAAACATCCTGTAATCGGAAGATATGGCGAAGAGGCTGAAAATGATAATGGTAGACGACTAATTGAATTATACCAACAACACCAGCTAAGAATATGGAACGGTTATTTCAAACATAGAGATATACATGAATACACTTGGCACCAAGACACTAGAAACATAAAATCTATTATCGACTATGTCATTACAAAACAAAACACTAAATTAAACATCCAGGACAGTAGGGCTTACAGGGGTAAGGAATGTGGATCTGACCATTATTTGGTTGCGGCTAAGACTCTGATTCCATTTAACCGACACGTTGAAAGCATCAACACTCCAAAAGAAACTGATATAAATCTGAAGAGATATATTGTCAGAAGCCTACAAGAATATAGCACTAAAATCTTATACCAAAATAGATTAAATGAAAAACTACTCGAGGAATACCTAACTGCCGAAACCAACCAACTATACGAACATATAACTGACTGTATTCACCACACAGCACAAGAAGCTCTAGGCGAAGAAACCAGAACAGTCCACAGATCAGCGGGAAAAATCACTTGGAATACACAGCTTGAAGAGCAAAGAAATAAGAATCAGGAAGCGTACAAAAGGTGGCTGAATACTAAGAATCTTGAAGATAAAGAAATATACAAAGAACAGCAAAGAATATTTAAAGATATGACAAGGAACAACAAAAATGAAACATGGGATGCAAAATGTAAAGAAGTTGACTATTACATCGGAGGAGCGCGATCATCAAGCGGCATGGAAATTAATAAAAACCCTGAAAACCGACACATCAAATAAAAGTCGAATACAGCCCATCCAGATAGATACATAGAAAGATCATTACGCAAGGGAACTGAATAAAGACAGAGATATTTATAATACTGCCTCACCTCAACGAATACGAGTACAAGGTGAATATGTAAACGTGGAAGAAGAACAAATACAACAAACGCTTAAATCGATGAAGAATAACAAAGCATCCGGGCCGGAGAACATACCAGCAGAATATTGTTCTGAAGCTATTTTCTTGTGGCATTGTAAACTAATTACTATTAAACTGGGAATAAGCTGCAATTAAAGATAAAAATACGTTTATTGACGTTTCAATTTCCACTTCGGAAATCGTTCTCAAAATACAAACAGTAAAATCATTTTACTGTTTGTATTTTGATATTGAATGGGGTGTTCATCAAATCACAGCTCTATGTTTCGATACTTCTAAATGTGCCTATCTTCTAGATATGTTGGCGACCGTATTGAACCATCTTATTCTATTCACAGCAGCGTGAAATAGATCAGTTGACGTTAGAATAGTGCATTTCCTAAGATTTTCCAGCCAGGATATACGTCTACGTCCAGGGCCTCTCTTACCCTCAATATTGCCCTGTAGAATTAACTGTAGAAGTCGGTATTTATCATTACGCATGATGTGGCCGAAGTAAGCCAGTTTTCTGTTTTTTATGGTGTTAATAATTTCTTTTCTCTAAAACAATCTCAAAGACATTTTGGATTTCGCCATGGAACATTTACAACGAATTCAACCAAGAAGTGGCTACAAAGAATTCTTAGAGTTGCCAGTGACTTTTCTAGGTTCAGTTCCAAAGAAAGGGGTGCGTTTCTATTATCCTGGAGCCATGCATACGGCGAGATGGATGTCTAAACTCATATATGTGTTAAATAAGTAGTCGTTTCACATCCAATTTAAGTTGATAGCTTTAGAGCTAAAAGGAATATTTATAAAGAAACGGTATACTTGAAGGATTGGATACAAGCACCATTAGCTACCGATGCGTCATTAAATATTTTCGGCGTATGCAACAACTTCTTAACTACCTGTACCCCAGAATTGCCATTGTAACGAGCCAAAAACTTCAGAAGCATTTATGGTACATCTCTGACTACCTCATCCCGATGAGTCAGTTGTGAAAAAAGAAGCTCCCGGAAACTCAAGAAAACGTGCTATTGATAAGCAATTAATTTTTTGAAGAGCAGAGATCTGGAGCAGTTTTTTATTGTAAACTCTAAACAAATCTTCAACATGCTTTCACTTTCTGATGATTTTTGAAAAGAGATCTGGTTCAGTGGAACGATGAATAATGTGTCAAGGCAGCCAAAAAGATGGTGAAGAATTTAGTGACCACAAATAATAGGGCAGAAAGCCGAGTTGCATAATTGAGACCTTAAAAAACTTACTAATAAGGAAGAGCAGCTGCAATACATCTTGCAAGTAGTTGCAAAGCATCAACAAATGTTTCCGGGTTTTACAAAAACATCAAACATTGAACAAAACATCATCGAAATTTGAAGGTAAAAAATATGTAAATTATTTTATTTCTTTATTCTATTTATTTAAACTAAAACCGAGCTAATAGTTATTCCGTTATGGATAACATTAATACTAACCCTGTAACTAAGTATTCGTTTGGTACTTCCTCCTATTGGAAAAACTCCAAAGCTAAGACTAAAACCAGATTCTGATGCAGTATGCTGATTTTCTCGTTTCCTTCGGCAACAAGAGTTAAACATTTTCTTCATCTAAAAGTTTAAGAAATAAAAGAAAATAATAAAATAACTAGTTTTTAAATATTGAAACCTACCTGTTTTTTAAAAATACTTGTTGTTAATGTGTATAGTACAGGATTTAATGCTGAATTAATTGGAAGAACAAATATAGCTAACCAAGCGTAGAGATCCTGAGGTATAGAAACTCCTAAAAGTAAAAAAAGTAAATATTAATTTTTTACAATTGTGAACAACATAGATTTTACAATGATGCCAAAAGTTTTCAGTCTCAAGAGTTTAGTATAATAATTGTCCTCCTACGTTATCTCTCATAGTTTTTCATTTATTTAAATATTTTCATCATCATCATCATATTTGGCTCTACAACCCTGGGTGGGTCTCGGCCTGTTCAAGAATTAGTCTCCATTCCCCGCTATCCTTCGCCCCGGCTTTCCAATTCCTGACCCCTAGATTCCTCAAGTCATCTTCGACTTGAGTTTTGAATCTGGATCTTGGCCTGCCTCTCTTCCTCGCTCCTACTGGCTCTTGATAGAATAGCTGTCTTTGGGGGTCTCCAGTGTCCATTCTTTCAAGGTGTCCTAGCCACCTTAGTCCATTAATTTTAATAGACCGGACAATGTTGCCTTTTTTATAGCATTGATACAACTCAAAATTGTAGCGCCTGCGCCATATCCCGCTTTCTTGTACTTCTCCGTATATATGTCTAAGTATCCGTCTTTCGACGAATTTCATGGCTGAAGAACCTGAGAGAATGGTTTGGATGCAGCTCAAAACAACTATTTAGAGCTACTGCCTCAAAAATTAAGATAGCTATGATGATTGCCAACCTCCGTAGCGGAGATGGCACCTGAAGAAGAAGAAGATCCGTCTTTCAAAGCGGCCTAACAGTTCTTCGTCGCTTTTTATCATAGTCCATGTCTCTGACGCGTATGTCAGGACAGGTTTAATAAGAGTTTCATATATTAGTATCTTGGTTTTTCTGCTAATTATGTGTGATGTTAAGAACTGCTTTAGTCTAAAGTAAGCTCTGTTCGCCAGGTATAGTCTTCTCTTAATTTCTACGCTTACTAGGTTGCTGTTATTTAGTTGTGTTCCAAGATATATAAACTCCGAGACCCATTAGAATGTGTGTACTTCTGTCACCAGATCTTGTGGTGCCGCTATTTGTGTGCTGTTCATGACCTACATGTATTTTGTTTTGGATACGTTAACCTGCAGTCCCATTGTCTTCGCGGCTTTTTCTAATGTTTCAAAAACCTGTATCAGGTCTCGTTTTGTCCGTGTTACTATGTCTATGTCATCTGCGGAGGTCAATATCTGTACAATTCTATCGATGATCGTACCTCTAGTTATTATGCCCGATTTCTCTATGGCTCTTTCTAGCGCGATGTTAAACAATAGACACGATTGACTGTCTCCCTGGCGTAATCCAGTATGTCTTTGAAAAGACCTTGACACTCTGTTTTGTACCTTGACTTTGCACTCAACTTTCGAAAGAGTTGTCTTTACCAATGTTATTAGATGCGACGGAATATCTAGTTCTGCCATGGCATTATAAAGTGCGCTTCTGTGTACACTGTCATAACCACTTTTAAAATCTATGAAGAGGTGATGGGTATCAATTCCATATTCATATGTCTTTTCTTTTTAATCTATATATTATTTGCATTTATAGATCACCTAGCTCTGATACTGAACTATTTTTTCAGAGCCTGCTAAATTTGTTAGATATCCTGCCCATTAAAAGCAGAAAAATTTTATGTGGTGATTTTAATATTGACTACGCTGCTGTTTGTGCGACCCAACTGTCTATGGTAACTATTTTTGAATCCTATGGTCTCACAATGCACGTTAATTCTCCAACAAGAATCTCAAAAACATCATCCTCGACAATTGATTATGTGGTTTCCGATTTTCCACCCGCTGACGTCCATTCTACAGTTATAAGTGGGGGGCTTTCTGATCATGAAGCGGTATATACCAAGTTTAGCAGTTTACAAACACCTCACTCAAAAACCCGACGATTAGGTAGGATATTTCCACTCAAAACTTTCGTAAATTCTATAATTCATGCTTGACTTCTGACTGGAGTTTTTCTTCTGGGGACATTGACTGTAATGTTGGTGATTTTCTAAATAGACTTGTATCTATTTTTAATAAAGCATTTCCTCTATTAAACATCAGGCCAAAACATAACAAACCTTGGATTACCAAAGGCATTCGCATATCTGCGAAAAATATGCGTTCTCTGCTATATATTAAAAAATTAAATGACAGTATCCCCATCTCTGATTATATCAATAAGTACAGAAAATGCTATATAAAACTACTCAAAGTAGCCAAAAAATCCTACTTTCATAATCGCTTAACAAACTCCAAAAATATTTCTAAAGAAACTTGGTCAATAATAAACGATTTTCGAAATAAAACTAGTACAGCAAATCAAACCTTTTCTTTTCCTAACCCCGAAAATCTAAATGATTACTTTGTCAATGTGAGTAAAAATATAACCTCAACTATTTCGCCACAACAAGATCCAGTTTCCTATCTTTTTAATTCCAAAAACATTGCTGACACCTTCTTTTTAAGACCAGTTGATAAGACGGAACCCATTTCAACAATTCGTAGTATAAAAAGCACATCGTTCTGTAGTACAGATGGATTATCTATTAAAATTTTCTCAAATCTACCGCATAATGTTTTGGAGGTCATGGTCTCGCTAGTAAATGATTCTCTTGAAAAAGGTACATTCCCTAACTGCCTAAAGACTGCCATCGTCATTCCTCTTCATAAAGGTGGAGAAAAATCTGATGCCTGCAACTATAGACCTATTGCCTTATTACCAGCACTATCAAAAATTATTGAAAGACTTATAAAAGTTCGACTTATGCCCTTTCTCCTTAAATATAATATTTTATCGCAAAATCAGTTCGGCTTTTTGTCTAATAAGTGCACTAGTGATGCCATATTTTCTGTGTTATATGATGTATATCTATCACTAAACAGTAACCTCTCCTCCGCCACCGTTTTCTGCGACTATTCCAAAGCCTTTGACTGCGTAAATCACGACATTCTATTAAAAAAAAAATAACTTTCTATGGAATTCGGGGTGTGTCTTTGAACTGGTTCAAAACTTACTTGGTAGGTAGGAAACAATTGTTTAGTATAAATGACACCGACTCTAGTTGTAAAGATATTGAGTGTGGAGTACCGCAAAGATCAGTATTAGGTCCCATTCTTTTTTTACTTTTCATTAATGATATCACTTACTTGAAAATTAAAGGGAACATTTTTCTATTTGCTGATGATACCAGTATTACTTGGAGCAGCTCTGATACTTCAACGCTTCATTCAATTATAACCGCTGATTTAATTATAATCAAGGCTTGGTCAGACTCCAACTTACTTAGCTTTAACGTGGATAATACTGTAGCATTATCTTATAAAGGAGTCATGCAACCCTTGCTTTTGAATGAGAGCCAAATCAATATCGTAAATTCCGTGAAATTTCTAGGTATTCTCATTCACAGTGATCTCAAATGGTCCTTGCATACTGACTCCTTAAGGAAGAAACTAGCCTCAGCTTGCTTTGCAATAAGATCTGTTTCGATGGAACTAAATTTATCTTCTGCCAAAATGGCATATTTCTCATTGTTCGAGTCCCATCTTCGATATGGGCTTCCATTTTGGGGTTCTAGTACAGCGGCTCAATTTGATACTATTTTTAAGTTGCAAAAAAGAGCAATCCGTTATCTACTTGGTCTCAAACAAACAACTCATTGCAAGACCTACTTCAAAAATCACGGAATTTTGACGCTTCCCTCTTTATTTATTTTGGAAACGGTTTGTATGATTCGAAAGCACCTAAACATTTTTCCCGATAGACCTGACCATGGCTGCTCCATTAGAAATTCGGATTGTAACGTTTATTTGCCGATCCCGTCCACTCAGCTAGTAAAGAATTCTATTCTATATCGTGCAAAGAAACTTTATAATCACCTTCCAAGAGAAATTAAATCCGCAACATCCTTCATTAAGTTTCGTAAGGTGACAAAAATCTATCTCTCAGAAAGACCATATTATTCAGTTGACGAGTTTCTTAATGTATAACAAAGAAACAAAATTAGTATTGTTTATAATTACATTTGGGTGTCTCAAGCAGTGGCTACAATTTGTCTCATTTGTTGTTGTCTGTACAAATTATGTAGGTTATACAATAATTTTACTAATTTAAAATTGTGTTATTCTGATTTTTACTATATTTGTTTTTGTTTTATACTCTTTGTACTATTTGACTGATTTATTTTTTAGCTTTGTCCATAAAATTGTTCAATAATTTTCAGTGACAATAAAGCATATTTCTATTCTATTCTATTATATTCTATTCTATTCTAAGGTTTGTCTGAGAAGCAAAATCTGATCAATTGTTGACCTTTCTTTTCGGAATCCACATTGGTATTTGCCTATTTTTTCTTCAGTATATACTAGTAATCGATCATAAAGTATATAAGCCAGTACTTTATAAGCCTTATTTAGGAGAGTAATGCCTCGATAGTTATCACATATTAGTGGATCTCCTTTCTCGTGAATAGGTATTATAATACCTACATTCCAACTGTCTGGGAGTTTTCCTTCTCCCCAAATGGATGCAACAAGCTTTATTATGTATTTTTTTAGGACGTTTGCTCCATACTTGAACAGCTTAGCGGATATACCATCTTCTCCAGGGGATTTGTTGTTTTTTAACCTTTTTAATGCTTCTCTCTCTCATCGTTTACGTCTCCACTGTGGTCATTTATGTCAGTCACTTATTGGTTGCCTATATTTAATTTCTCACCAAAATTCTCAGCCCATCTCTTCACTATTTGATCCGGCTCATTGATAATTTCGGCTTACTTACTTTTTATTATGGTTATTCTAGGCTTAAACTCTTTTCTATTGTAGTTCACATTTTTATAAAATTTTCGCGCTTCGCTTTGTGAATTGAGCCTTTCTAGTTACTGTAGCTGGTTTTCTAAATGTCGTTTTTTCTTTTGTTTTAGTATCTTTTTCTCTGTTTATCTCATCTGTTTGTACTCCTCTTGATTTTGTCTTGTCCTTCTGTTTTGGAGTTTCGCATATGCCTGATTCTTTTTTTGAGTTGCCTGTGCACATTGCGCATCATACCATTATGTCCCATTCTTTTCTTGTTTCTTTGTCCGGAAACTTTTTCTTGAATTTTCGTAACATGATGGTCTTTACGGTGTCGGGATGTTAACCCTATGCCCAACCCCTAACCTGGAGGACCAGTTCACCCGCTCTAGTCAGTTTCCGACCCAACTTTACACTCGGGTTGGATACCGGATCTCCAGTTGGGTCGCTCGATTTAACAGGGAGCACCAGCGTGAAGGTGTGAGTCGGATTTGAGTAGGAGAGGCTAAGTGGAGTAAACTGGAAGCAACTCCATGTTTTCGTGTTCTACCCCTTCACTCCTAATTTAAATATTTTCAGAAACTTTATTTCTAGTAACATTCTCTTGTAACATTCCAAATCGGTTCTTCCAAAATATTGATGATGTCCTTGCGATGATCTGAAAATAAAATGAGACTATTGATACCTTAGATATCTGATCTAAATTAATTAAGTCCTTTATTTTACCTTCTGCTACGTAGTAGCATATATTAGGGTCCCTAGTTAGGAAGCCCTTAGAATAATATCTTCAGATGTTCTAGCTTTTTCGATTTAAAGGCTTTGATTACTTTTACATATAACATAGATAAAGAGTTAGAAATCGGGATAAATCAGAGACTACTAATGGAAAACTACAGAATGATGTGACAGAGGTAGATGAATAATATGAATACAGTAAAATTGCAATTTACAAGCTGAAATACACAGAAAATAAGAATATATACCAAAAAGAAACAGATGAAGAATTAACAAGACAAGCCAATTACAAAGACGGATGAACTCTGAAAGAAAGATGCGAAAATTTAGAAAAATACTACTAGAAAAGGTTCTGACAAGGACAAAAAGGGAATTGTGGAAAAGGCATTGCGTGGAGATAGAACAGACTGCAGAAATGTCAAAACTCCATAAAGTTCTCTCAAAGGGCCCTCAGATAAGTACTCCCTCGCTCCAAAAGAAGTCAAGTGAATACACTCAATGGTGAAGAGACCCTGAAAGAACTTTTTAGGATGCACCTTCCGAGTCTAAAACGAAACTGATATCACTAGACATATGGCAGACTTTATGACTTATGGTTCTAGAGAAAATTGGCGTGTGGAAAGAGAAGTAGTAATCCAGGACAAAATAAAATGGGCAATAAACTCGTTTGATCCATATAAATCACCGGGTCTGGACGGGATTTACTCTATACTTCTACAGAAGGGAAATTACCTTTTGTACAAAAAATAATGTATCATACTGCAGGCTATCTTAGGAAAAGTACATACCAAAGCATAAAGGCTAATAAGGGTGGCTTTATACCAAAACCTAGCAAAATCGGAAAGCAAAATGCTAAGTCCCTACGGCCGATAAGTCTGATGTCATTCGTACTTTGGAAAACCTGCTCGATAGGCATATTAGGGATGGTGTATTGGTTGAAAGTCCGATACATTAGTGACATTATGCGTATCGTGCAGGGGTTTTCACAGAAACAGCACTGCACTATCTCCTATAGAGGATTGAGTACCTTCTGGATAACCAAAAGGTGATGTTAAGTACATTTCTTGATATTGAGGGAACATTCGTCAACATCTCCTACGATGCAATCACAAAGACGATTCATTTAAAAGGAATACATAAAACAAGTTGCAAATAGATAGACCAAAATCATGAAATTTACCTCTTCTTCTTATTTTTCCTCCTTTTATAAGCAATTCTGCTTGTTCATTGGCGGATTAATACCTCTATGGAAGGTTTTCACTCCATCTCTTGCGCGGTCGTCCGATACTTCTACCGATTGGTGACTTATCTCTTGCTATTTTGACGACACGGATCCCCTCCATTCTTCGTATGTGATTATTCCATTCTTTTTTCTATTTTGTGTCCATTTATTTATACACTATACGTTACATTTTCTTTTAATTTCTTCACTTCTCTTTCGATCTCTCAGCGTATTTCGTGTAATTCTTCTAATTACTCTAATCTCTGCCGTTTGCAGTAGCTCATGCGTTGTGGCTGTGTCGGGTCTTGTTTCTGAGGCATATGTAATTATTGGTCTTACACTGGCTTTATAAATTCTTGACTTCATGCAGAAGGGTCTGCACAGGAATATTTAAGCAGCCATTAGGTTCTCATAAGACCTAAGGTGGACTCTACGCTAGTGAGGGAATGTCGAAACAAACTCGACAGACAAACGGAACATAAATATTTTTATACTTTTTCCTTGAGCCGGCCATGGGAGTGTCAAAAAACATCGTCCGCGACCGGAAAAAAGTCTGAATCCGAGCCAACACAACCAACACTGGGAAAATATAACCGGTGGAACACATGGCAAGATGTATATTAGACGGCCATGTGCTAACAGGGCTGAAGTACTGCTTAACACATTTGAAATCAGCTCAGAGTATAACATAGTGGACATATGCCAGTTAAGGAGCAACTGCATACAATGAGACTGTTTTATCGAAACTGGAGCTGCAAACTCTGTAGCAGAGGACTTGAAACAGTGAACCATATCTTGAATGACTGCGACATTAGATCGCAGGCGACAAACTCTTTTTGCCTGCGACAACCATATATGGTACCCATTCACTAGATCTGTATAAGCTAGTACAGGATTCCAGAATTTCCGAATGAGTATCATAAAGGAATGGAAGTTATACAATAAGTCAATTGGCTGCAGTACGACGGGTTCATAACATACGACTTCCAGAACAAAAACCTAGAAAAGGCAGAGAAGATATATATGGAAGCAGAAAGTACCATAAAAAATTAAAGACAATGAAATGGTGGAAAGAGAACATTTAGGACAAAAATTAGTAAAAAAAAAGGAACAAGTATGGAAAACATATATCAAGACTGCAGATCAAAGAGACAGGGAAGAAGAAAAGAAGCGAAACAGGCAGTAAAGAAAGTAAAAAGGGACATTTGATAAAGAAATATCTGAATAAGAATTAAAACACTACAAGGTGATAAAAATAGAAAACAAAGATAAATGAAACAGCAGACAAGACTAAGTGAAACAGAGTAGGAAGTAAAGAAATAAAAAAAAGCATTGGTAAAGAACCAATATTAACAAAAATCAAAAAGCAAAAAATGAATTGGTTGGGCCACATAGTAAGAAAGGATTAAATCCGAACAGTAAAGAGAATACAGGAAATGGGAAGGTCAACAAAAGAAGAGGCACACCAAAGAAGTTGCTGTAACATTTAAAAGAATATGGGAGGAAAATAGAAAAAACAGTAGAGGAGATGAATGAATTGGCAAATAATAGAAAAGAGTGGAAAAAATGGATAAATTATGAACATAAATCACAATCCGACACCTAAAAGGGTGTGGGGAGAGGAAAAAGAAGAAAAGAAAGATCATTTTTTCTAAATTCTTTCTGAATTCTCCATTATAGAATAAATTCCATAACAGTATCAGCATGCGCAGATACCCTTTTAAATGCCTTGAATTTATAAGTGCTTTTTAACGTCCAAGATAAAAATGCACGTATTCATTTTCTGAGCTTCAGATTAACATTTGTGCTAAAGATAAATGTCTTGGTCTGTACTAATGAGAAATTGCTGTCTTTCTCTTGCTGTCTTTTTCTTCCTAGTAATAAATTTAATGTTATGTTATAATTGTATTGTCTATTAAAATGTTTTCTTTCACGTTGTATTTTTTTTGTAAATATGAATTTATTTATCGTAGGTTCATTTTTAGACCGTCGGTTTGCTGTTTAGTATTTAAAAAAGCACTTGTAGATACATAAGATTATTTGTTTTAATATTGCCATCATCTGTGAATTGAATGTCATCTGAAGCTTGCTACAAAACTGTTAAAATTCTAATGTTCCAACTACCGAGATTCTTACTTATGTTCTGATAAGTGGTTGAAGTTTCTGATGCTGACATTTGTTGAATGTTTTTTTCAAAATCAAAGAAATAGTTAAATACATGATAACATTTTTCTTCGAGAATTAAATACTAGGTTTATCATAACATAATTGAAATCATTCGGTATATCAATATGAGTCGTGAGTTCCAAGTAATTGATATTACCCAGTTGGGTAAACTATATCAGACTCATGCTGCAGACTACATTCTTGAGTGTTAACGAACATTACTATTACTATTACATTACTATTACATAACTATTACTCACCTGCTAAAGCTATTACTTTTACCAACACAATAGGAAACCAACAAAGACAATCAGTAAAAACGATAACTCCAAATCGTTGTGCAACTTTATCTGTATCTTGACTTTGTCTCGTTGATCTACAGGCGACCCCACTGGACTTAATCTCGTTTATCATTCTGACATAAGCGTAGCAGATAAAAATCAAAGCCAACGTATTAATAAGAATGAACATAGCGGCTGAATATTCCCATCCCTAAAATTAACAAAAGATGTTGAGTAAAGTGTAAATTTTATTTTTGTTTAATATTAAAATAAACTGTAATTTTCATTATATCGATTTATATCTGACCTCAGAAAATAAGTTTAAGAATAAAGGCGCCTGGTGGTGGTAAAATAAGGCTTAAAAAATAAATTAAAAGAGATCATTTTATAAACAGTGGCAAAAAGAGATAGGACACAGATCTTCAAAACTATAAAGTCGCCAAAACAAAAACGATATAGCAGTAGTAAAAACTAAACCAGAAGCTTATAAAAATCATACGATAAACTTAATACCAGGGAGGATGAAGGAAATATAATAACATAGCCTAACATAGACCCCGTCTGAGAAGCGTATGATCTTGTCGCCGCTGGTGAGAGGGCTTAAGGGAGCCCCCAACCTTCAGCCGAAAGGCTGCGGGAATAAGACAATAAGACTCTCGGCCAACAAATGTCTCGATACTACGGCCAAGTTGTCAGTTATCATGGAGAAGGTGTGAAATATACTAAGGTAACATTTCACGAACGATACTTTTGGAGAATAGGGCAATCCCATTCTCTGCATCTTTACTTCTGTGTGTTGGGCCTTGCAGGGGGACCATTCTTTTCCTAGCCACTCGTGGGCAGTAAATAGATCAAACAAGAAACCAAAAGAACCAAATAACCTAACCTAATCAAACCAAAAGAATCACCAAGAGAAAAGGGAGTCAGAGATCACTGACTCTTACACGTAGACTCTTCGCGAACACAGAGGAGGGGGTTGGAAGTAACCAATGACTCCTTAGAAACCATTGACTCTCACAGTAAACAAGAAGTAAAGGGAAGTCGAACCTTTGCAGAATTATCCGAGAGGATTAGCAATACCAGACTTGAAACAAAAAGACAGAAGGATACAAATCCTCACAAGAAGATAAAACGTGTAGTGAAGAAAGATATACGTAAGAAGCAGGAGGAGGACAGGAGCATTAGGGATAAAAGACTTAGCTCAGAGTCTCAGACTCCTCAAAGTGACAAGAACTAGACCAAGAAGAATAAAATCATTTCGAAAAGGGTGACGTACAAAGGATACCAGGACGGCAATGATACACACACGCCATCCCGATTCTACATTAAGTTAAGAACAGACAGACTTGCTAACGAAAATTACGGCAGTGGCAGAGCACTAATTTAAGTAATCCTCATTTAATGCAGGGATGCTAAAATTAGGTGACAAAGCACTGGCTCAGGGAAGAGATTAAAAGTCTGGGCACTCTCTAAGAGGGGGTAAGTTTGATACTAGAATTTAAGGGTTCTAGTCTTTATCCGTGAGCGACAGATTAACCGATGATCAGAAAGTGTCTTTAGCATCTGAATACGATGCTGAGAACGGGTTCCTGTTAAACAGGAAAGTAGAGAAGTGGAAGCTGCTAGCTTTATCTATAGATGAAGAGTCCTGCAGGAATTTGAAAAAGAAGAACTACCAAGCTTATTATAGACTTAATAATAGGGCAACCATTAGATACTTGCAAGTCAAGAAAGATAGAACTAAAGATAATTTAGATTAACCACCAACACCGCAAGGCAGCCTCGGCATTACTTATAGCGCTTGAGGGGACGTTTGATATTGCCTTTATATAAGAGACTTGGGTAGACCAAAAGGCGGTGAAATGTTTAAAGGGAACAAATAAAGAACTTATCTATGGTTTATTATCTGGACGGAAATGACGACGACGACTATGTAAACGAAAAATGGAATTGCAAACGAAAAATGGAATTGAGATTAGGAACAAGAGAACCCGTTCCATATTATAGCTGTTATAGCTGTAAACCATAGAACAAAAGGCCTCATTATTGACTTTAAAGCCTACAGTCAAAGAATGTACCATTTGCGCTTAAAAGGAAAATTCTTCAATTACAGTTTGATCAATGCACATGCCCCGACTACTGACAAACCAGAAAGAATAAAAGAAGAGTTCTTCGAAGAGCTAGAGCAAGCCTACAGAAAATGTCCTAGAACTGATATTGTGTTAGGTGACGTGAATACAAGAATACGACGAGCGCGAGTTTTTATGCCCAATATAGGAAGGCATAGCCTAAACAACATCAGTGGCGATAATGGATTACGACTGATAAACTTAGCAGCAGTACTAAACACGACAATTGCTAGCACCTATTTTGAACACAAGAGTATACACACTATATCTTGGACCTCTCCTGATGAAAGAACAACGATTCAGATTGATCACCTCATAATAGATTTAAGACAAGGATATTAACATATGTAATAAACTACAAAAGTTATAGAGGCGCAAACATAGGCTCAGATCATTGCCTAGTGATCTCATCATCGGGGGCTAATTTTAAACATCAGCAAAGAAAATAAAGTGGATAAAAAGCAATGGAATGTGCAGAAGCTGAAAGATGAAACAATTGCAGAACGATACTTAAAAAAGGCTAAGAAATCAAAATGTAAATGAGGAAGGCCAGAAAGATATAGACTCCTACTGGACCATAATAAAGGAAAATATTTAGGCAGCAGCAAAAGATGGAACAGGAACAGAAAATTGTGTCCGTAAAATTCATTGATTTGGCGATTAATGCAACAGTTTAACTAAAGAAAAAAAAATAAAGCCTACTGAAATATGCGTATCCGACAAACTAGAACAACTATTGAGAATTACCAGACAAAGAGAATTGAAGAAAAGAGGATACACAAAAGAAAAAAATGAAACCACTTAAATAAGGAACTTAAATATATAGAAAACATTAACAGAGAGAAATAGTTCAGAGCACAAGCCAATGCAGAAGTCAGAATGGTGACTTATTAACAATAAGAAAAGATGTATTGAATAGATGGGTGGAATACTTAAACCAGGTAATTAATATAGAGAAAGAAGAAAAAAACCTGGAAGACGAAAGATATGAAGTAAGTATAACAGACACAAGGGAACCACCAACTCTTATATATAATAGAAAATAATAGTGGAATAGATAATTTTCCAACTGAACTATACAAAGAACGTGGCCACGATATCATAATGGCACTACAGCAGCTCATAACAGAAATCCCTCCGCATTGATTGGAATATTGGAATACTTTGCATTTTTTGAGGTTCAGTGGCATTTTAGTCTCTGACGACTGAAGTACACTGAATTATTTTTATTTAAAATGGTAAGCCTATAGATTGTCCAGTGTTTGCATAATAAAACTACGCTATTTTTCTTCCAGCTGAATTGTGCAAGCAATCTTTGTTAGAATCTGATTGGTCCACTTTAAGAGCCTCTATATTTATTGGTATTACCTAGTAGTAACTCCCCTTATTGTGTTAATTGGCATTTAATATTTACATGAATATCAAATACTAAAATTCATAATTAACAACAAAAGGATCTATTACCGTTCTAGCTAATTAGTGGATATCGAAAATTGTAATGAACATTAATTAAGCACTTACATGTAAATTTATGTTAACGAATATAGGTTAATAATATAATAGCATGTGCATATAAATGCCCCAAATAATATTTGCTACTTGCTAATAATACATGTTACATACTGAACAGAATATTATTATTAATACTATTTTATTAATATTCTTCTGCACTCCAATCTCGCAAACCTTTTCAAGCACAGAGATAAGATTGGCATCAAGACTAGAATTTTAAATGTACGAGTGCTGTTCTGTAAATTGTTGGAAAAACATAAAATGTTTTTAAAAATATTTTAAATACATTTCAAAGTACTCTTATTTCAAAAATGTTGCCTTGTTCTTTTGAACTACGTGTCAACAAATTTGAGAACTTCGTTTTCACATAAACAACAAAATCGTTCTAATTCCCTAGTGCAGGGGTCGGCAACTTGCAGCTAGCGAACCGCATGCGTCTCTTTTAATGTGAAGCTGCGGCTCTTTAATAATTCCAAACGAAAGTATTATTTATTTTACCAAAAGAGAAAGTTTTAAAAAGCCTTCTGAATCGATTAACGATGAGTAGACAAGCAAGCAAGCAAACAATTTGATTAAACCCAGCCTATGAGAAATGTTCACCCCTAAGAATTACGATCGGGTGTAACAATTCATTGGAGCAAGGTGTGTTAACTAGAGTATAAACAGGAGTCACCCTACTGTGCTCCAATGCTCTAGACCAACCCTTCCCCCCCTATAGCACTCTGATGCGCTATAGAGGCACAACAATCAGCCAAATGCTCTTCATGTGGAGATCCTGGGTAATAGAACCCCAACATGGTTTCCTAACCGAATGCAAAAACTCAGGACAGCGCATCTCCGCTATATTCCTGTTATTTTAAGGTGGCTTATCCACGAACTAAAATTGCTTACTTGGACCTCAAGTCCCCGCTCTGAGTCCCGGCTCAGTTCGGCGACTTGGTGCTCAAGGGGTTGGTCCGTACGTGCCCGGGTTTTGGGGTTTGGTTAATTTTTTTGGAGGCCGAAGCCGGTTTTTGTTAGTAACTTTTTTAATTTTTTTACCACAATACAGACTCTATCCTTGTGTGAGCAACTGGGCCCACTGTGTGTTTGGCGATATGCGGTATCCTGTGTGTTTTAAGCTACGAACTATCTTCCTTGTGTTATGTATATAGATTTTTGGGATTTCTTCTCGCTCTGGTGTTTTTTGGGGTTACGTTTCCATTGGGGGGGGGGGTTAATTCCCACTCTGGTATTTTATTTTATTCTACTATCTGTTGTTTTGGTCTTTTGTGCTTCCATCTGTGGAAAGCGTCATACCTCATTATCTCTCTTAGTATGTGACTGTGGTGGTTCTCTAATTCTGCGAACTTTTTCCTGGCCTTTTCCTTCATAGTTTCAGTCACTCTGATTTGCTGTAATTCTTTGAAGAGGAATCTTTCAGCTACGTATCTTGGTACGTTTACTGCTTCTCTTAGGCTTTTGTTGTGCATCGCCTGTTTAGTTGAGTTGCATGTGTGTCCCCATGCAAGTGACGCGTAGGTCAGTATGGGAAGGACTATACTGTTTATTAGCCTTATTTTAGTTTTAA